TAAATAACATTATTTTATATGTATGTGTACAAATTATCATTAATTTTATCTCTTTGCTCTTTTAGATCTTATTTTATTTTATCCTATTTCTCTTTTTGATATATATATTTGTTGTTACATCTACTTATTATTATTTTTTATTTATTTTTTCATCTCTTTTTCTCCTTGGCTAAACTGTAATTTTTACCCGAGCGAAGTATTGTGTTGTGAGATAGTCGTAGATTATATCTTTAAATTATAACACGCAACCGGCAGGTGGACCTGAGTGATACTTGCACATACGTACCACTTTATAAATTTTTTTTTTTTTTATTATTATTTTATTTTATTTTCTATTATTTATTTTAGATCTATATTTATTTTAATATATTTTATCACTTATAATATTTTATTAAATAATACTAAATGATGAATAGCTACATGCAGAGTATCGATGAAAGTTTTACTTCTGCGAATACTGATAATGACAGCTTTACAAGTTTACCATCTCTTGCTGATACACTTGAGTCCCGGTTCTCCGATGTACCGAAAAATCTTAATGTAGTCCATATAAATGCACAGAGTATTCCAGCTCATTACCACGATATGCTGGCGAACCTTGACTGTAAGAATATTCATGCTATCCTTGTCTCTGAATCTTGGTTAAAACCTTGTCTCCCTTCTACTTCCTACTCTCTACCTGGATACCAGTTGATAAGAAATGATCGCACGGGCTGCGGCGGTGGCGGGGTTGCCATATATCTTCGAGCAAATATTTCCTTTAAAATAATTGATATGTCACCACAGCCTCCGCCGCGGAACGCTGGCGAGCATCTCTTCTTGGAACTAACACTGTGCAATTCCAGAGTATTGCTCGGTGTCTATTACTGTCCTTCACTACGTGTTGACTATTTTTCCTCTTTTGAAAATTTACTTCTGAACTTAACTCCCTCTTACAGTCACAGCATAATAATGGGTGACTTTAACACCTGTCTTCTGAAACAAGATTCCCGCTCCTCCTCACTTCAATCCATTGCTCAATCACTCAACTTGTCTCTTCTTCCCTTGGGTGCCACTCACCACTTTCCTAACTGTTCACCTTCTCTTCTTGATCTTATCCTTGTCTCGTCCGATCAACATGTTGTCAAGCACGGACAATGTTCTGCTGACAATTTTTCCTATCATGACTTAATCTTTCTTTCGTACAAAATCTGTCCACCTAAATCTAAACCCAAAACTCTCTTTCAGCGCAATTTTAGTGGTATGGACCATGATAAGCTTCGTGAGGATGCCGGCAACATTGACTGGTCTAAGCTCCTTGCCGCTGACGCAATTGATGAGAAGATTAATGTCTTTAACAGCAAGCTCATTCAGTTGTATGACATTCATGCTCCAATACGACCCGTTAAAATAAAGCATGTACCTGCACCGTGGTTGACGGATGACCTGAAGGTCGTGATTCATAAGAAGGCAGCGGCAAAGGCCAAATTTAAACGCCAACCTAATCCGGGGAACCGCGAAGAGTATATTGCAGCCCGGAATCGTAGCAACAAGATGTGTAGGGATGCACAACGCCGCCATATTCATAAGTCAGTGGAAAACGGCGATCCGGCCAAGGTCTGGACATTTCTAAAAACTATGGGAGTTGGCAAACAGCGTCAGGATGGTATTTCTGGGAGCTTGGATCTTGAATCCCTAAATAAGCACTTTTCTTCTTCACCTTACATTAATGGAGTTATCAAATCCAAAACCTTAAAACATCTTTCTTCCCTTCCTGCTCCCGACTATCCACCATTTTTCTTCAATCAATTCACAGCTTGTAGTGTTAGGAAGAGTATAATTTCCATCAGTTCCAATGCGGTAGGGACTGACTGCATCAGTCGCAAAATGATACTCCCTGTCTTGGATGAGATCCTTCCTGTCATCTGCCACATCCTTAACTATTCTTTGTCCAGCAGCGTCTTCCCTTCTGCATGGAAGGAAGCGCAGGTTACACCACTTCCTAAAAAACCTAATCCAGAATCCTTTTCCGACTATCGCCCTATTTCTATTTTACCCTTCCTTTCTAAAGTTCTGGAACGTCTTATTTATAACCAGCTAAGCGCTTTCCTTACCAAACACAGTCTCCTTAATCCTTACCAATCCGGGTTTCGTCCGGGACATAGTACCACTACGGCTTTGGTCCATATCACTGATGACATACGATCCGGTGTTGAAAACGGCAATCTAACTCTGCTCACCTTGCTAGACTTTAGCAATGCCTTCAACACCGTTGATTTTGATATACTGCTTGGAATATTGGGCTCTCTTAACATATCTCCAACTGTGATTGATTTCTTTCGCAGTTACCTGTTTGGCCGCCGGCAGCGTGTCGCCATTGAGGGTTCATACTCTTCCTGGTCTGATACGGCTGCTGGCGTACCGCAGGGGGGCGTTCTTTCTCCTCTACTCTTCGCAATTTTTATAAATTCCATTTCTAATGAACTTCTTTCTTCCTACCACTTGTATGCCGACGATCTGCAAATTTACTCACAAGCACCTCCTAATGAATTCTCCGAGGCAGTAAAGATGGTGAATACGGACTTGGCACGAATCTCGGAATGGAGTACGACCTATGGTTTGAAAGTTAACCCCGCGAAAACACAAGTCATTGTTGTCGGTAGCCCCCGCTTACGCTGTAAAATTATGTGGTCGCAGATCCCTTCAATTATTTTTAATGGTACCACAATCCCATACAGTGACACAGTAAAAGACTTGGGTATTGTCATGGACCGAGACTTCACTTGGGAACCTCAACTGAAACAAGTAAGTCGGAAAATGTTTGCGTCTGCGAGGTCTTTGCGTAGACTTCGGAACTTTCTTCCGACTGCTACTAAAATTGCGCTTACTCAATCACTTCTTCTTCCCATCCTCGATTATGCTGACGTCAGCTATCCAGATCTTACCGAAGTGCAGCTAGATAAACTTGAGCGACTCCAAAATTTTAGTATACGGTTTATATTTGGTTTACGCAAATATGATCATATTTCCGAATATCGCGCTAAACTCAAGTGGCTGCCGATCCGCCTTCGCCGGGATACTCATATCTTATCCTTACTCTACAGTATACTGTTTAATCCTACTACCCCCCACTATCTCAAAGAACGTTTCCAGTTCTACCATGACACACATTCTAGACCAGTACGGTCGTCGGAGGATATGAAGCTTGAGATGCCCCAGCATGCGAGTAGATCATTCGACAGATCTTTTACAGTACGAGCTGTTCGACTGTGGAATGCTCTGCCACTTTCTGTCAGACAAGCAGAGTCACTTGTTACATTCAAAGCACTCGTGAAAAACCATTATCTCGCCACGTTGTAGTCCATTACTATTTCTTTTTTGTTTTTTCTTTTGCTGTTCCTATTCATCATCTGTGCTATATTTTTATTTGTGTATATGTATATATATATAGTATATATATGTGTTGTATGTATATATATTTATATGGATATGTTTGTATGTATAAGGTCTTATGTAAGTATTATATTTTATTTTAAATATACTATTTATTTAGAGAATATATATTTTACTTGTACATATAATTTATAAGTACCTGAGTACACCAAGAACAACCTCCACTTTCATCGAACAATGCTCCATTCACCCAAAGGTTGCCTGGTAGAGATCGCTATTAGTGATAAGGCCGCCTTTGTACCCTACTATTTTTTTTTATTATAACGCTAATGTATATTCCATTTATTTAAGGTGTACAATAAAGGTTATTATTATTATTATTATTATTACTTTATCTTTTGTATAAAATGGTTTTATTTATTTCCTGTGCTTCGTTCCACTAGCCTAGGTGGCTCGCCGCCAGACCAGAACCAGACCTGAGCGTACGGCGCGTCGCGTGCGTGCCACAGTAAAGCTAAAAGAAATCAACCCTTCACGCAATCCTAAAAATGGGGGCTACTGTCTTTTGGCTTTCCGAATTGCCCAAATGTAGGTAGAAGTTTTTTGTTCAATCACCGTAGCTGTCAAATATTGAACATAAAATGGTGTTATACTAGCTATTGGACGACGAACGAAAGCACAAACATTTTATTTTTTTTACATTTTATAGGTCGACGTTTGACCAATATCTCGCCTGATGGTAAGCGATGATGTGGCCGACGATGGAGCACGCCTACCTATGAGCAACCTGTTCACTCGGGACTTGAAGACACCCAAGTCATATTTGACGGGAAACACAGCCTCTGGCAATGAATTCCATTACTTAGCGGTTCGCACGAGGAAGCTTGACGCGAAACGCTTCGTGCGAATGGGTGGAATGTCCACCATATAAGGGTGGCGCCCCGCCGTTCGTCTGGTGGTACGATGGTGAAATGGACTAGGGGGAATAAGTTTGTGCAATTCTCACGCACTCACCGAAATGTATCCGATAGAAGACCGAAAGGCTTGCGACTTTGCGCCTGTGTTCGAGGTTTACATTATCCGTTATTCCTGTCTGTGAACGAGAGGCATACACTAGCGCCATCTGGTGAGCAAAAAATACGATAGGCCTCATTCTACAGAGTGCTGTCCCATTGTATTGAAATATTTGAGAATGGCACTTTAATTTTAGTTACGTTGGTATGTAAGGATACTTTATGATGGTGTCTGGTCTGGTCTATGCTTTGCATTTGCATTCAAATAATCGGACCAAGTACGGGACTCGGACCTGCAACACTTCCTATACTAAAGTGACAGCCAAAAATGCTTATTCCACGAAAAAGTACTGAATATAATAATTTAACAATTGACTCCACTAATGTGTTTTGTAAATATTATTGGAAGTCAGAAATGAGTTTTGGGCTAATTATTCAAGATTTTAGTTAATTTCTTGAAATCAAAATTTTACCAATCTTTGACAAACATTGACCTGTCACTTTCCTGACAGTAATAAAAATTAGCTTCGTGAAACAGAGCCGTCCCAGCCCGGACGACATTATTTTGTGCAAGATAGAATCGTAATCTAAAATTGAATTTATAAATCAAAAACCATGTCTTACAAAGCAGATTTACGGCAATTATTAAAGCCATATTATTGGTTCAATATAATATTAAGTATGTCCTACGTTACGTGTAAGAGGACGGGTTATATTTGCAACTTTTTGTTCCCAAGTTCGGACTGTGAATTGGATAGCAGAGAGACGGAAATATTATTTTTCCTAATTATAGTCGTTATGTTGAGGACGAGGAAGGCGGGAAGTGTGACTATGGTTAACTATTTGTCGTCTTCATTCGTTTATACGAAGATAGCTAACTTAATTCTATGGTTTTACGCGGATATACGGTGAGTAACCACTTCATCTCGTTAACCATAATTCTAACTGGTTTCTTGTAGATATTTTTAGTTTAAGCACTAGCTTTTCAGCTAAACATACAGCTTTAAAGGCGATTTAACTCAAAATGAGTAGTTTTTAGACAAAATTAACCGATTTTATTTCATTATTATGTTATGTTTGAATTGTCATTTGTCAACAATTATTAAAGTATTTAGCGGTTCATTGGTTATCTATAGACTACACTGCTTACTTGTATTCAGTGTCAGCTTGTTCAATTTATTATGTATGTAAACTCTTCGCAGTTACAACTCATTTGGAAATAGTATTTTATTTCCCACTGGATGATTAGGTACTTTATCGTTAAGTATGTTATAGCAAAAAAAAATTCCCCTAATGGGTCATTGAACATTGTAAATTAAGTCTAAAGGATAAAAGATGTCGTGGCCGGCCCAAAAGGAGATGGCAGGACAAACTGGACATGTTAGACAAGGATTGACCGCTAAAGGCTTTATATACAGGAGCTTTATGGAAGGATGATTTTTTAAATGGCTACCATCAGGTGCTTCTTTGCATGTTTACCTCCTAATCCATAAAAAACAAATTCACATTTTGGTATAATAAACTTGGAAAATCTAAAAAGGTTTACTTTTAATTCTCGTAGTTAAATGTAATTATTATCATTGTTTTCAGTAGTAGACATAGAACCAAACAAATTGAAATTATTTGCACTCCCTTACAAAATTGTTATATTCTGCACATTGCTGGCCTGCTCGGTTATGGTATTGTACACAACTAATAGGGTATTTGTGACTTCTTACTTATGGTCTATTATATTTTCCATGAAAGATTTAAAAAAAATTTTTCACCACACTATGATTTTCTCCTGTGTCGTTGGTGCGTTTACAAACATACAAGTTCACATACACATGACACCTAGACACAGAACAACAATTGGTAGATCACACAAAGAGTTGCTCCGCCGGTTGCCCAATCATCGGACCAACTGTGCCGTCGATTGAATCAATTTGCATTTTTTTGGGCATTCCCCTTTATGTCTACCCAGTCTGTTACAATAGGTATTTTACTAAATATCAACTTGGTTTGACTGTACAACATAAACAAGAGAGTTAAACACTTAACCTTTTGAAATTCATCCCCTAAATTTGTTCATACAAAAGTAGTCTCTAAGCATTGGAAATAAGGTCTATAATGTAGTTAGTGGAGAGCAGTCACCGGTGACGCTTGGGGATGTATGGGTTAATATAATTTCTAACACGCTAAAAGACCTACAATTATTACCTCTGGACTATCATTGAACTGATAATAAACTTGTTAACACTTGGTTGTGAGCTGTCCTTAGTTACAGCTTGGCAAAAAACAGTTTGGAATAATAGAGGTCGCTAGTATCGTACCTTTTTTTTTAAGGGGGAAAATCATCGAATGACTGATCCTGCCTGGGTGAGGCGGGAGGGAGTGTCAGACTCTTACTGACTAAAAACCACCCCGTTCCTTCTCCTGCGCTTCGAGCCGGAGCCCCGGTTACCCGATAGGTTCTCCGCGACTAGTATCGTACCTGTAGCAACCTGGTACACTACGACTCAATCGGTTTTGATATTTGTTATTTTTATCGAGTTTGAAAAGAGGATGTACTGTGTTCAGATGATTGTTTATTCATGGGATGTGGTCCAAAGTGAGTGATTCAGTCCAAGTCAATATTAGTACCATCTGTCATCGCGTCTAGCTTTTTTTGATAACCAATTTGCAATTTCTAAGCCACCTGGCAAGTATCTAGTTATCATGATACCCTATATTCTCTTGAAAACAGTTCAAAAGCGGTCTAGTAGTTCTTCTGTACAAAAAACATAAAGAATTGAAAGATAGATAAGACATAACATAACATCACGCCTTTTATCCCCCGAAGGTGTAGGCAGAGGTGCACATTATACCACAGTACAATGTAACACCCACTTTTCACTATTTATGTTACAAGTCCCATGTAATAGGGGGTGAGTTAATTGCCATATACCGGGCACAATTCCAGGCTCCGTGCTACTACTGAGATTTTTTTTAAAACCCAGTAATATTTTGCCCGACCCGGGAATCGAACCCGAGACCCCTTGCCCGGCAGTCGCACTTTTTTTTTAAGGGGGGAAATCATCTGATTACTGCTCCCACCTGGGTGAGGCGGAAGGCGGTGTCAGACTCTTACAGACTAAAAACCACCCCGTTCCTTCTCCTGCACGTCGAGCCGGAGCCCCGGTTACCCGTTAGGCTCTCCGCGACTCCGAATCGGCATCGGCCCTATTGGGCCCCTTCTGTGGTGGTCTGATGGCTCTTTGAGGCGCGCGCGGAACGCGACGCGCTGTACGCTCGGGTCTGTTGGGACCACTCGGCCAACGAGGCAGTATCGGCAGGCAGATAAGACATAAAAACAAATAAAGAAAAGAATTTTTCTTACAGATATGGCCTGCCCTACGGAGCCATCCTAATTCTATCAGCCTTACTCCTCCCGGAACCAACCTACATGGGCCCAGAACACGTAACTTACTTCCGAGGCCCTCAGGTCCTGGATGATGAGCTGAAACATCATAAGAGCACCACCTGGATTGTCTGTCTGTATGCTGCTTGGCATCCAGCTTGTGTGAACTTTGCACCGGTGTTCGCTGAGCTGTCTGCAAGCTACAGCTTGGATAATTTGAAGTTTGGGAAGCTTGATGTCGGCAGGTGAGACAATTTTTCATTTGGTACATATAAACATAACATCACGCCTTTTATCCCCGAAGAAGTAGCTGGTGCACACAGAAGTAACACCCACTTTTGACTACTTATGTTATGTCTGAATAATCTTAAAAAGTACATATAACTCGGAAAAAGTCACATTGGTACTTGCCGTTGGTGATCCGCACCATTTTTTACATTCTTACCAAACCTTAAAAAAATACCGCTTTCTACTCCAGGTACCCTGAAGCAGCAGCTAAGTACAGAGTACAGGATGGCCCGACCAGCCGCCAGCTGCCGACGGTGCTGGTGTTGTCTGAGGGACAGGAGAAGATGAGGAGACCACAGGCTGACCATACGGGGAAACTGCAGAAGTAAGACAATTTACTGAAATTCGCAGGTTACTCACGTGAATATACTGAGAAAAGCTCTACTATGCTGCTCATGAAGAAGAGCCCCTCTGTGGTTCGAAACTAGTAGAGCTTTTCTTTTTTTATGCCATAAACCGGTAAACGAGGAGACGGATCACCTGGTGGTAAGCAATCGGCGTCGCCCATGGACACCTGGAACACCAGAGGCGTTACAAGTTTGTTAGGAATTGGGAATTTGAGAATTGTGGAGGATACGGGGATTCGGGAGACTAGGGAGGGGGATAATTGGTCTTCCGGTAACCTCACTCACACGACGAAACACAACGCTAGCGTTGCTTCACGTCGGTTTTCTGCTCGGCCGTGGTATCACTCCGGTCGAGCCGGCCCATTCGTGCCGAAGCATGGCTCTCCCACACTTAATTTTATTACGATTTTATTGCATTGAAATTGAATTGGCATTACTTTCACCCTGTACTCAGCCGACATGTTTAATCTTCCCAATTTTTGTGTTTCAGGTTCCTCTTTTCAAAAGACAATGTCAAAGCAGCGTTTGACCTGGACGGCATCTACCAGGAGTGTAAGCAGAGACTGTCAGCTGCCAAGAGTATCAAGAAGGATGAGTAGATTCCACCATGCTTCATCATCGTCATCATCAGCCAGAAGATGTCCTGCAGAAAAAAGGCATCCAGTGCCTACCTACTACTTTAATGACTACCAAAAGTTACCACATGCGTTCTCCATCGTCAGCTACACATCGTCATCAACAGCCTATAAGTACTCACTGCTGACCAAAACGCCTCTCCTCACATGGAGAAGGTTTGAGCATTAACCACCACGCTTGCTTGAAGGTTGGAGATTTCAAACTTATAATTAGAAATTATAAGCCCAGGTTTCCTCACGATGTTTTCCTTCACCGTTTGTCAGTGGTGTCTGAATGATTTTAGAAAGTACATATAACTCGGATAAAGTCACATTGGTACTTGCCGTTGGTAGGTTTCGAATGTATGAGAAGCGGGCGTCTTAAACCTCCGGCCCACGACATGTCGTCGGCTATATCCTCGCATTATGGCAGTCGAATCGGCTATTAAATTTAACCTTTGAGTCCTGACGTGGTTTACTCGACCATAAATGGTGACATGACGTGACGTATGTCAAACACCCTAATAAATAATCGAAATGGATTACTTTTATTTACTGATTTGCACAATATTTACTTGTATTGTGATCTGTCCATTATTATTCTATTAAGGAAGTGTGAAAAAAACAACATTTTCAAATGAAACCAGCGGTTTTTGGTTCAAATTAAATTTAGCATAACTTAAAAAATAATGTTATAATCTTAGCTACAATACAATTATTTGGACATTTTTTTTTGGAAAATTCGTGTTAATTTTATATTTGTGAACGCACCGTCTATAAGACACCCACGTCCGTAGTTAAAGGTTAAATACATATAAAATCTTGCAATCAAAAGTAATAATTAAAATTTACTATTATATGTATAGTTTTATATTTGAACAAAAATCCAATTGAATTTCCTTAATCTTGATTCAAACTCAAAAGCATTTATTTATTTCAATTAAACCATAATTTGGTACTTTTGAAACGTCAACAAATATAAAATAAATAATAATCTGTCAGTCAGTCCGTCAGTGAAACTAGGTAGATTGATTTGGAATTAAGAAATAAGAATTAAGATTTCTGTCGAAGCAGTGACATTTTACCAATAATTTATTTATTATATAGAATAGAATCAGGCGTTATTTTACGTAAATCCACGCTACACTAACAAATGGGTGAATATTTCGTTTCTGCCTCGCACAGCAAAACTGTGGAATGATCTGTCGTCGGCGGTATTTCCGAACCGATACGACCTTCATACCTTCAAGAAAAGAGCGTATTCCTTTTTAAAAGGCCGGCAACGCACCTGTGACTCTAGTGTTGCGGGTGTCCATGGGCGGCGCCGATCGCTTACCATCAGGTGACCCGTCTGCTCGTTTGCCTCCTATTCCATAATAAAAATGTTGCTGTATTTGTGGTTTGTTGAATGTCGTGTGTGTTTTGTGTCGCATCTCGGCTGCATGAGCGTTTATCTGCGCGCTGCATACCACATGCTGCATTCCTACAGCAAATAGGCATGATGACGGGGTATGAAAATTAAAAATCTAATTAGTCCGTCAGTTAGGTAATGAAAAAATATTAGACACGTATTTTTTTATTTTGTCGTATAATAAAGCAATACTTAGATAAAACGAATCAAAGTTTAGGAGTGGGGGTAAAACGTCATTTCTTCGTATAAAATGTACATAGAAGTGACGGCACACGACATTTCAAATCAATATATCGTCGAAAGAATTTGTTTCTGTGATAAAATAAAAAATACGTGTCTAATGTTTTTAAATAATCTACCAGACGGACATTGATATAAAAATTAGTCATCTACCCACGCATCTACACTATTGAAGACGAAATATTTACCAATTTGTTCGTGTAATTTATATATTCAGTACAAATAAGATCTGATGATATTGAATTATTGTAGTCTTTTTTAGTCAATTAGTAAATAATGAAGTTTTAGCGAAAAGGCATGTTGCAGCGAAGCATAATAGGAGCTTCACTTACATGGAGCACCCATGCCACTACATCACCTATATCCCAAGGAATTTGTCAAACATTTATTCCATACTAGCCACTTCCGCGCGGTTTCACACGCTCTGCTCAGCTCCTATTGGTCGTAGCGTGATGTTTTATAGCCTATAGCCATCCTTGATAAATGCGCTATCCAACACATAAAGAATTATTCAAATCAGACTTGTAGTTACGGAGATTAGCGCGTTCAAACAAACAAACAAAAAAACCAAACTCTTCCGCTTTATATAATACTATTCTTGAAACCAATCTCAATGTTAATGCAATTCCAATCCAATAAAACCTCAATAATTATTCAATATCAACACTATACAACCACAATCGTAGCTGTTACAATAGCATTCAGAGTACGGAATATAAAGACAAATTCAATACCATTTAGTTGATTCAATATCCACGCAATACATTTGTATATGAAATGTCTAATTAACCTACTGCCTTTTAGAATATAAGTTGATGTTTTATATTATGTTGTGTTTATTTAAATGTTTTTGTAAATAAATTATATTAGATCGTGCTTTATATTTGGTATTATTTTTCCCTAGTTTTTATTTCCTTGATTTAAACAAGAGCATATACAATATAACACCCAAATATTACATAATTTATATATTCTGTGGTAACACCCACTTTTCACTATTTATGTTATGAGTCCCATGTAATAGGGGATGAGCCTATTGCAATATACCGGGTACGATGGGTGTTGGCGCATTAGTATGGCCATCGACCATAGAGGCGGCGACGCGCGGGACGGGGTATAAAAACCCACGGCCGCGCGAGCGCCGCGCTTCTTCTTCATCGACACACGCCAGCCATAGCATTCGGGCATTTCTTTGTATCGGTGTGAGCCGGTCTTGATTCTGATATATGTAGAAATTAAACCTATTAATTGTGCAGTCTTCGGTTTTAATTTAAAATAACCCGACAGAGCTACGACAATGTAATTTTTTTTATTAATTTTTGGCATAAGCCGGTAAACGGTATTATATTCCTGAAGGGTATAACCTGGGAGTCTTCAAGGCCCGAGTGAATAGGTTGCTTATGGGACGACGTGCTCCATCGTAGACCACATCATCGCTTACTACCAGGCGAGATAGTGGTCAAACGTCACATACACATGGACATACAAGTTCACATACACATGACACCCAGACACGGAACAACAATTTGTGGATCACACAAAGTGTTGTTCCGTGCGGGAATCGAACCGGTATATTTTTCATATTAATTAACTAAATCCTCATATGTGAAAACCACTTCTGATCGCTAAAAATATTGTAAACGATTATTCACCTAAATTATTTAAAAAACCCATTTCAACCTCATCTTTTTTTAAGTCGGTCAATTAATACACTATAATCCTCTCCTAAGTGAAAGAAACACTTTTCTGAAACATTAAAATCACTTCAGCCAATTGCGAGATAATAGGGCACATACACACACACTCCTCTTTTCGAAGTCGGTTAAAAATAAACAACAATTACACAATATCTAATTAACATTTACTGACTAGATACAAAAGTAAGCAATATTAGATTAATACACCGTCAAATATATTTCGTTTCCGTCTCACGGCAAAACGACTTGCCATAAGCAGTACTTTCGATGTATAAAGTAAAAACAATAAAACTAAGATGTCATTTATCTACTATATAAAAATAAGTCGGGTTTTCCTTCCTGACGCTATAACTCCAGAATGCACGAACCGATTTCCACGGTTTTACATTCGTTGGAAAGGTCTCGGGCTCCGTGAGGTTTATAGCAAAGAAAATTGACTTTTAATCACCAAACGAAATGTTACATAAAACCAAGCCATCTGGTAGCGAAACGGAGTTTGCTAGTTTGGTTTAAAATTTTTTTTCATGGCAATAAGCACATGAAATACTAGACGTAAATTTGCAGTCACTATTCGCATCGCACGTGCACCCGACGAGAAATACCTCTTCGACAATTACATGGCGTGGTGTTTTGATAATGTACTATGAGTTCGTATGCGCTTTCAAATTCACCAGTTATTTATTTTATTTCTTTGTAAAACTATTGTATTAATAAGACAGAACCATTTTCCTTCGGGACGAAAACCAAATAGATTTCACGATTTATAATAAAAAACCTACTTAATACATACAAACTTGTCATTTACTATACACCTCACCGGTGTCAATAGACTTATGGATCGACTGATGCAAACTCATTGCAAACTAGTAACTGTTGTCTAAGCACAATCAGTAATTTTACTTGTAACGCCTCTATAGTAGCGTTGGTCCATGGGCGACGCCGATTGCTCACCATCAGGGCGCTTACTCTTGAACCAATCTCAATGTCAATACAATTTCAATCCAATAAAATCTCAATAATTATTCAATGTCAACACTATACAACCACAATCGTAGCTGTTACAATAGCATTCAGAGTACGGAATATAAAGACAAACTCAATACCATTTAATTCAATATGCACGCAATACGGATGCAATGGGCGCCAGTATTGCAACTCAAGAGTACGAAATTTCACAATAGCAATGTCGATCGATCGGAATTGGATTCAAGAATAAGCCCCCTGATGATCCTGTTTCCTGGGTTATCCCATAAAAAACCACCCAATTAATATACAGTTATGAAAATAAATATTTATTCAGTACAGAGACAGTAGCCATTGGTTGTCTAGAGCCGACTGAGTCACAATAGATTAGGCTTCGTTAGATAGCATACAAATTATTATAACAATGCTACTTGTTGGAATACTGAAACGCTACTCAATTTCAAGTCGCGCTTAAGTATAGTTCTATCTCTACAAATTCTTTGTAACATGACAGAGATGGCACGATATTTGAACACGACTTAAAATTGAGTAATGTTTCAGTATTCCGGCAACTGTCTCTTTATTTTCTTGTCAAATACTAAATTTATTAACACAACTTTAGTGCTTTTTCTAAGTATATAAAGTCTATATTTGTATACACTTCATTAAATTAT